CGAAAAATCTCGGCGGGACGCTCAAGGATGGCCCGACTTGAGTGTACGGTCGCCCATATGGGCTCTCCGGCGGCGACCTTAAATAAACGCATTAAAAAAGTAATTACAACCAATGAACCCTGATCAATTAAGATCACCACAATTATATTAAGCCAACTTCAACAAATCAACAGCAAATTCTCTTCTCAACAAAAAAAATAAACGCTACACACTACAAGTGTGCTTTTTCCCTAACTAATGTAAAATATCTCCCAACACTCGAATATTTGATACTTGAAATTCATATGTAGATAATTTTATACGCTTTAAACATGATATTTATAATAAACCGATGTATCACTGTAGAAATAAATTAGCTCGTTGTAAATAAAATATCTCCAGTGAAAACTGTAAGATTACTCTGACAGTGTGAAAATATCTATCGTCTAGGATTTGTTAACATTTTGTACTTTTGAATAAAAGATAATGGAATTTAGCTTTCTATCTGATATAAATATGGACACAAGTTTGGATAAAAGGTTGAATATGGAACATGACAGGACTGTTTTTATTAAAGTTGGAATTGAAACGCTAGTCACACAAATAATTGAGAAGCTTGACAGTGAATTATCTAATTTGATAAATTTATATTAAAAAATCCAAACTACCAAAGTATTGATCGATCTGGAGAAAAAAATATTAAATGTTGAAAGTTTTTATGAAGATACAAAAATTATATTTCCAGATGAATTTGACTTTATCTATGTTATTGCGACATTTATAGTTGTGGGATCATTAGCAGACTCAATGTGGAAGAAACATTACTTTACTCTCAATAAGTTTCACGATGACATTAAAAGAGTTATAACTGAACAGTTCATTGACAGAAAAATAGCATATGAATCCGAACAGCATTTTGTTCAATTTGAATATTATGACAGAAGTCAAGGACCTTCATCTAAGCTCCTCTTTACGTACGTAGATAAGGCCAATGTCACAGATAAAAGATCAAAACCAGTAGATGTCGTACCCGCTTTTAAAAAAATTGACTTCCACACTGAAGGCAAATTAAAACATGTTTGAAACGTAGAAGGATTTGTGGATTAAGTCATGCAGACGAAAACCTATTTAATCACCAATGAGATCTCTTTTACTGAAGCAGAATTATATTGTATGACAGTCTCGACTGTATGAACATTTTGAAGTGTCATTTCGTTTTCTCTCAACTATATAATCTTTTTGACGGGGGGGGGGGGTGAAATATTAGCAAGACGGCAGTTTTTCTGCTATCGTCTGGAGGTCAGCTACTTTAAATTATCGTGAAGCTTTGAATCTTAACATTTTTATATTAGCTGTACTACTTGCCACGTTCAACTGATATCCCTACATACTGAACTCTATCCCCCTTTTTTTCTTTTCTTTTTATTGAATGTTTTTCTTCTTCTTTCTCCTTGTGCATTTTTCCCTAATTGATCTACTACTAGTATCATACATTTTGGTTTGTAATTGTCTTATTATTATTAGATAATTCCATATATCAGGGAAGAACCGTTTGCTGATGTTGTAAGAACTCGTGGTTCAACCCTTTTGCTACTTTTGTATTTATATTATGGTAATATTAAGTTATAAATGTGTAAAAAGAGCAATAAAGTATGTTTAAATCAAATGGCGGAATTTTTGAAAAGAATAAGGATACTTTAAATAACTAAAGAATGTCAAGGTGGGTATCCCAAGGTAACAACGTTTGTGTGAATAAACGTGACAGTATAAAGTAATGGTAAACCATTCAATAAAAACCATTTACTGATCTATACTTATACATTAAACAATTGATTGTGAACTCAAGCGTTTTGGTTAATCAAAAAGCAAAACAACGGCGTATATATTTAAACGCACAAAAACACAAGTTTATCTTGCGAAATTATGCTTGAGGTTTATTTTAAATCTTATAGAGGATCAGAATATATATCAATATTTAAGAAGTTAATCTTATTTTTCCTTTATTTAATATGTTAAAAATGTACAGGGTTTCGTGCTATTTTTCAGTGTTTTCTTTTTGGTAACAGTAACTGGTTGGTTTGGACATTGTTAGATATATATACGTATACCATGAAACCTTTATTTAAATTCAACAATATTGTCCAACAACATTGACATTGGCACTCTTGAATTTGACCCTGTAGTCAATATATTCCGTAAACGTTACGATCTACTTGTAAATTGATATAAATGTAAATATCCAATTGTCACAATGGTGTAAATTAAAAGCCATCTTACCACAATTAGTAAAGGGGTTTCACTCGAAGAATGTAGACCTAAACTGGTAGGTTCGAATCCTTTTTCAGTGATTAACCTTTTATTTTAATTTAAAATTTCCATTCTCTGAAAGCTATTGCAAATATTTTTGTTGTGTATTCTATCAGCCTAGTATTTCTAATAACTGTCTTTGTAGCATGTATGCGCTAAAGCATATACAAATGCATAATGTCACAAAGAGAACCGTGGAAAGTTACTTAATGAAATAAAAATATAATTATATATAAAAAAACCACTTTAAATGTAGTCTAAAACCAGGTGAAATAAAACGATTGCAAATAAATTCTTGCACGTAAATTTTAAAAAAAAGGATTCATAGCGTGGTGTTGGTTTAGGAATCGAACCAGATACCTTCAGATCGGTAATCCAACATCTATACCAATACACCACATGTCACTGACGAGTGTATTCTATAGAAACTGGTCAGTGTTTATAAGAAAGTTCATGAAGTGCTAGGTCAATATTGTTGGACAATAAATAAAATGTATGTGATCATTCACTGAAACCAAGCGCAATGTAGACAGACGATATAAATGTTTATTTTACAAACGGTGCATCCCCAACCCCCAAAAAGAAAAATACTTTCCTTTTATTTAATTGTTTACTTTTACTAGTCGACTAGTCGATGGATGTCTGTATTCTAAGATTACGACATAGGGCAGTTACTTTTAAAAAATTGTGTAAAACTGCTATCTTATTTTTTTTGAAAAATAAAAGCATAGAGCAGAGCATATTTAAAGTATAATCACAAAACACACTAAAAGATATATGTGAACAAATTATTATTATATTTATGAAAAAACAAATATCTGTATACATTGTAAAAAAGTTATACACAGAAAAAATTTATAAATTTTTATAATTTCGATCACACTTGGATATAAGTCAATATTAATCGATATGTATTTGTAGACTAAAAACAGAACATTTACATGTTATTAGTTATTTATTATCTCTACATGAAAATGAAATGTGGTGTATTATCGATCCCACTGAAGAAGGCATGAACATACATGTATGTTAAATTACGCAATATTTACTTTTCATTGTCTTTTTATGTTATCAAAAAGTTGTTTCGGGGTTTAAATGTTTATACTTTCATAAGTTCACTTAATTTATGATAACGTCGACCTGTTTCCTATCAGATTTTGGCAAAATGTTGTACTAATGTTGTGATATATTTCTGGTCCATTGGGATCATCCAGTTTTAAAGATCGTATACCGCTAAAATAAAGAATTTATACAATATGATGATTGGAAATTAAAGTTAAATTGTAATTATTGATGGAAAAATAGCTTTTTACTACAATCCGGCGACTGTAGAACACTAATGGAGCATGAATATGATCACGTTATCGTTATTGCTTTTATCATTTAAAAAAAACGTTAACTAGAACATGAAATTATGGCAAATCATTAACAAGAGATTTTACTTTGTCTCCGTGCTATATAATATACCCGCAGTCAATTACCTTTGATAAACTGATAAACCAAAACTGGTTAAACAATTGCGTTCAACAATCGATATAAGGTATATGTCCTATATTTATATTGATCGGGATTCAATGGCCACAGTTCAGGTTTATTTTTAGGACTTTTGTAATTTCAGGTTACACAATGTCATGATATTTATAGTATCATTTCATACCATAAAACAAAATTGAGCACAAACCATGTATCGATTTATTAAAAGATCAAGTTACAATTTCGAATGATTTTCATGTTTACACTTCGTTTGTATATTTGCGTTAAATTGGGATATATTTCTTCTTTTTAACTCTCTGAAATTTCCAATATACTTTTTGTATTCAAGTTTTTGAACTTCAGAAGAAATAGTGTAATGGTCCGAAAAGAATACATGAAGGTTATCATTTTATATTAGTAATCTTTTTTTAAAGAATAAATTAAACAAGATTTTTTTATTTCAAAAGTTGAATGTATGTATCAGGATTTCAGTGCAAATTCTTGCCAAAGTCTATACATGCACATGCAAAATATAGTCAACATATAAATATAATAACATAGTCGAGTTTGGTTTCATTTATAACTCCTGCAGCATGAGTTTTTATTACCGGAATTAGGATTTTTATAAATACTCCCTATGACTGTTACCTCTTTATATTTGTAGTTTTACTTGATTTTTTTAACATGCTTTTGGACTCAATCTTGTGACAGAGAAAATAAGACCATGTTCAGCTTCAAAAATGTGACCTTGACCTTGGTGGAAGGGGTCTTGTGTTGCGCATGACAAATTATCTTATATGGTGAATATTTGTGCTAACTTATTTCAAAAACCTTTGATGAATTAACAAGCTGTGAACCGGACTTAAGAAAAGATCTTTTACAGACCATGTTAAGCATTTAATGGACCTTAGAGGTACGGTCTAGGTGTTTCGCATCACATGTCGTCTTACTAAAGTGAACATTTGTGCCAAGTTATTACAAATCGCATGATGGATGACAAAGTTATGGACCGGACACGAAATATACCATCACTCAGACAATGTTGACCTTTAATCTCCAGGTGTGTCCTGAACATTGTAGGTAGGGTTTTTATTATGGTGAACAGTAATTTGAAAATCCCTCGATAAACGGGTGTGTTATGGGCTGGATACAAGTAATGACGGTCAGACATATGGACAGACTTAATTAGTTCATTTCTATAACCTCCTTTTTCCTTTGAAAAGCCGGGGATAAAAAACGCAGCAAATCTAAAAAAAACATGTACAGTGCTTTAATAAAAAATACTTGAACCATCAAACAAATCCAATGACAAACTTAATGTTCATATAATATTTGTATATTGATATATTAAATGATGGTATAATATAAATGATATAAAAGCTAAGCATTTAAAAAAAGAAACCATGTCAAACTAGTATTTCAACATTTACACTGTTTCAAAGTATGTTATCTAAAATGTGTTTAAAACTGTTGAATAATTCTTTCCAGAATTATGCAGTCAATTTCAATGGATATTCTTTAACTGAAATATTATACATCTATGCTATTTAAATGTTAAATTAAAAAAAACTTATATTACTTTAAAAGCCATTTGATTTTGATAACATATTTCATCTTTTAAACGGTATAAGTATAAAATAAATACCAACCCGAGATAACAAAACATTTACAAACTTAACATTTATAAACTATTAATGAACAAGTTATTTACAGAGTATAATGTACAAGACATTTACAAACTAAACCTTCACTTTAAAGAAATCAGACCTTTTCACTTTATTTGACAGTGGTGCCAAAATTGAGTTATCATAATTAAGTTAAATATTTAAGATGCAAAATTATTGTGATTATTTATAATTATTGATTTTCTTGCACTTGGATATTCTCATCCCTGATTTCAGTGTTACACAATGGACACACTGTTCTAACTAGAAACCATTTCCTTAAGCAATCATAATGAAAGATATGATTACAAGGTAATTTCTTTGCGTTTGTCATTACAAGGTAGCATATGGCGCACTCATGTGTGTCATCTGCGTCACTTGATTCAGCATGAAATACCACATCTTGTAGGTTTCTAAGAAGTGTAAACATTTTTTGTCTACTTTTGTATCTGTTAAATTCATTTAATCCGAGGATTCCAGCCACTGCTACCAAACTGAACAAAGCAAGGCAGAGACGCATAAACCACCATCCTTTGAAAAATGGACAGATATATCTACAATAGCACTGTACACAGTTCAGTAAAAGTAGGACAAATGTTTTACAAGCCCTAGTATAATGTAGAAAGTCCTCGATTTTAGTAACATGATTTGATGTATACCACGTGCATTTCATTAAGACAGATTCTAACATTAAAGTGACTGCACGAACAACTAAAGTGGAATTTCCGGATGCAAAAAATAGGAGCCATGGACTTAAATTCAAATTTCTAGATACAACCAAAGTAGATAAGGATGGAATAGTGACAAGTAATCCGCTGAGAATAATCGCACGCATGTAGAATAATACTCCAGGGGAAGTTCCGTTATTAACTGCTTGGAAAATTTTCTGCTCAAGAACAGCAAGTGTTTGAAATACAATAGCATACATCGTCAAAAACGCTATAAGCGCCATAGCATCAACTTTTTCCTCATCTTCCAAAGCCAGCACATTTGCTTCAGTAAATGTAATAAGTGCAACAACTTGGACAACTCCACCAATATTAGCATTGAAGGCCTCAACGAGGTGGATTTCTGTTGTCAAGAACCAGTTACCTAGGGCAACAGTAACGTTGGACAATAAACCCAAGACGTAAGAAATGACGAGTACACTAACATGCGTAGTGCACCATCTTGCAAGAACTTTTAGGTAAGTGTTTAATGACATAAACGACAATATTGGTCTTTGATAGACTGTAACCTCAATTAATAACATAATTGCTAGATAAGCAATCCCAAAGAACAAAATGGAATCTCTTACAAACCATTTTCCTGGAAAACTAGCTATAATAGTTTGTCCTTTATTTCGGTTCTCTATACGACGGTTTACATCTGCAATTGCTGATTATATTTATTTTTTGTTTCAATTTCATTTGTTTGTGTATACTTGGCGATCAGAGACATAAGCTTCTTTCTGTCAACTGCTGCATCTATGTCCATCAGTGTGACAACCTCAAAAACAATTATTACAATCAGTAAAAAAATGTCAATCCAGTACGACAATTCTGACATAAAGGTAGGAAATATACTAAGAGTGCTCAAAATTTTGGGAACCAGTGTTGACAGTAATCCAATATATAACATTGATGGTCCATCGTCCTTCGATCTATGACTTAATTCTCCTGGTCTTGTGCAAAGATATATCAGTTGCAGTATAATTGAGCAAATCAATGGTAACCTTACATTGTCTGTCACATCTGACCACACTAGCACGCTCTTATCATGACACATTTCATAAGCTTCATCTTGGTATGTCCAGTAGTCGATGTATTTAATCCAGGCCATCGTTATGTCGAATGTAAGTGTAATGTAGACTTGAAGAAGAACTCCGCTGTTGTAAGCCCAAGATCCGGCCAAAATAAGAGCAACTGTAGAATATACAATTACATATTAATATTTACATATTTATCATAACTAGTTAAAAATACTATCTGCTCCAGTGTCGTGTGATTGGTACACGACTGTGACAAAGTCAACGTCATATATATTTCAAAACTTGTTTATATATATATATAAAATATTATCTCCGTCCGAGTACATGTATTTTCAGAGTATCACAAACTTTTAATGCACAGTCAGGCAAACACAAACAGTAGTTAATTATTTGTTGAATTGAAAGTGGAATTTCCAATTTAATTCTCACATTGCACGTAAAAATGACCACAATGCTAAGAATAAACTTTATTTATTTAAACTAAATGAATATCGAATACAACGCAATACAGTTTCTTCAAGTTATAACGCTGCTGATTAAAAAAAACAATTACAAAAAAAACAATATGAAATGTATCTAAAAGCACAGACGCTTGGGGGGTCAGACCCTGCCCCCAAAGGTGATACGCCCCTGTATTTGACAGTTTAAACACGAATGGGACATCTGTTACAACGATAAAACTGGTTTTCAAACAATTTAAATACATATATATGAAAAAATACCTCTAAATATTATTGAGACTTGAAGGTAACAGGGTGTAAAAACATAATTATATCCCATTCGTGTTTCAAAAAAAGAGTATTTACAGAGAAGTATCACGTTGGGGGGCAGGAGGGGCAGACCCCCAACTGTCTGTGTCTAAAATAGCACAAATAAGGAACAAACCTCCATATCTTACGATGAAAAGAACTATATCAATAATCCAGTAGTTAGAATATGGACTGACTAGTAACCACTGATGTATAATGAACAACAGGGGTAACCGTAGGAGCACTTCGCACCAGTATTTTCTCCTTGCTGATGTTATATACATAAAATTGTCACATTTATCACCAATATTTAGCGACATTTTCTCTATACATCCGTACAATCTCCGTGAATGACTCTCAACATACATAACTACGGAATGCCGTTAGGGCCATCGCCTATGAATGTGTTGATCTGAAACGCGATAGTCGATAGTACGATGGTGAAAACGCGAAATCACGAAACTACGATGGTGAAAACGCGAAACTACGATGATGAAAACGCGATAGTACGATGATGAAAACGCGACAGTACGATACTACGATGATGAAAACGCGATAAACTATCGTGTTTTCACCATCGTACTGTCGCGTTTTCACCATCGTAGTTTCGTGATTTCGCGTTTTCATCATCGTACTGTCGTGTTTTCATCATCGTACTATCGCGTTTTCACCATCGTGCTATCGCGTTTTCATCATCGCACTGTCGTGTTTTCATCATCGTACTATCGCGTTTTCACCATCGTACTGTCGTGTTTTCATCATCGTACTATCGCGTTTTCATCATCGTACTATCGCGTTTTCATCATCGTACTATCGCGTTTTCACCATCGTAGTTTCGTGATTTCGTGTTTTCACCATCGTACTATCGACTATCGCGTTTCAGATTAACACATTCATAGGCGATGGCCCTAACGGCATTCCGGAATGCCGTTAGGGCCATTGCCAACGAATGGTTTGATCTGAAACGCGATACTCGACAGTACGATGGTGAAAATGCGAAATCACGAAACTACGATAGTGAAAACGCGACAGTACGATGGTGAAAACACGATAGTTTATCGCGTTTTCATCATCGTAGTATCGTACTGTCGCGTTTTCATCATCGTACTATCGCGTTTTCATCATCGTGCTTTCGCGTTTTCACCATCGTAGTTTCGTGATTTCGCGTTTTCACCATCGTACTATCGACTATCGCGTTTTAGATCAACACATTCATAGGCGATGGCCCTAACGGCATTCCGTACATAACTCCTAATTTGAGAGATTCCATAATGAAATTGTATATCCAACCGTGTTCAGTACAAAATATCGAACGTATCGACCCATGAAAAAAATGGCTTTATAAATATTCATGATCGGCGGTAAATAGGAAAAACCAAAACATTTCTCGTTCTATAAATAGAAATCAGTAATGTCTATTTAAACAACATCTGTTGACATGTCTGTTTTAATCTTGTATTACATAGTTTATAACGTAGTTTATAATATGTCAACTTTAGGTATTGTCTACAATTAGGTCATACATTTTGATGAGTTGAAATTTGTATAGCCTACACGAATCTTATGTACATTTAAATCAGTAAAATTTTAATTCTTCAGAAAGGGCATGTATACATGTGTTTAATAATGTTTTAATAATGGATTTAGAACACATCTGAAGATAGTGGCGCTAAATGAAATGTGCAAAAACGTGTCATAAAGTCATAAAGGTTGCAAAATGTTTGACTTCCATACAAAATACTTGAGATTTTACACCTTTATGTGCATCTGTTGGCCGATAAGCAGAATAACTGTGCACTAGTATAGAAAACTAATTATATTAAGTTAATGCAAATTTATAATGCCATTAAAATAAATTAAGCAACATTGTGTGCCCATATCTGGCCGGAAGAAATCGCCATGACTATAACAATATGAAATACAAAATTAAAGTACAGTATAGACAACAATAAAAAACGTTAATAATTGTTACTATGAATAACGCTTTTGTCTGACATTTTCGATAATTTTAAGTAGGCATTTGTTATTTTGATTCTGACTGATTTACTTATATATTTTTCTGTAAATTATTATTAATTTGTTACATGTTTTATGCTCTTCAATATTGGAGGAGTAAAAGATATTATAATTACTGAAAAAAGCGACCAGGGGAGAGAACTAGAGCACTTTCATAAGTCTATATAGATTACTCGCCCCTCGGGAATATGGCAAAATTATTTATTTCGCAGATTCGGTTTTATTGTTGATGAGATATAATGTAAAGTGCAACATCTCTCACGACCCCTTTCACCGGTTTGAACGGCATTCAATTCTTAAACTGTATGTACTGGAATCCATTATTCCGAAGGAACATAAGAATAAAATGCCACTGAATAGAAGAAAGGGACAATTATTTACAACTTTTTGTGATTGTAAAATTATCCAACGAGAGATCCTTTGAAAGCCATAAAATAAAAAATAAAAATGTGGAAAATCCCAGACTCACTCTTATTTAGTCTGTTGATGTAGATTTAACGAAAAGTGCAATCTCATTGACGCCCTAAGGCACCGGCTTTATCATTAAATTTTACGCTCTCTAGCACCGGCTAAATCATTCACGCCCCCCCCAGCACCGGCTTAATCAGTAGTCAATCCTAAACACATAAAAATATTGGAATCAATGATCCTGACGGAAGAGAAATAAAACAAGGTGCAGAACTAGGCAACTTTAAACTGCAATCTGACTTAAGTTAAGATCTACTTATTCTTATTCTTTTATTCAGATTCCATGAAACATGTGCGACAGGATTATTCAACAAGTTGCTTCTTTGTCATAATTAAATTTATGACTTTTTTTGTTGTTTTTTTAAAGCATTAAGTTTTTTTATATAAGGGGAAAATAGCATTAGAAGTCAATGGCATGGAAATAAAAATGAACAGCGGTCTTAAATCAAAATATTTTTACTTTCATTTTTATATTAGTATAATATCACGATAAACAAAATACAAAACAATTTAAAAAGAAATTCACATCCGAAGACTAAGATACATGAACTTTTATTGTTACATTATAGGCATGACACAACGTTACGTGAAATGATAGCGAAACATTAAAAATAACTAAGTATATTAAAGGACTTCCACTGATTTTTTTCGGCATGACGGGTTTCCAAGATTTGAAAACCATTCGATGTAGGTCTATCAATTACTTGTGGGCAAATTTTCAGATCCTTCCCTCACCCCGTTTTCTTGTATATTCATTCTTATTGTGCAAAATGAAAAGCTTTGCAAGGCTTTCACTCAATTTGGGTTAAGAATCAAACAAAATAATTTCAAATAAATTCAAATACATTTCCTTATTATCCTTCGCAGTTTTTCTTTTCAATTTTAAGTGTCTCACTTGATCTATGCAAACATTTAAATTTAATAATGTTTAGGCTTTTTGACCTTAAAGGGACTCCACTGAGGTTTAAAAGTCTACAAACATAACATTTGAATTTCTTACATAAATGAGCTGGGGCACTTTAAACAGTAATATATGCAAAGATAGTTAAGAAATATACTTTGAAATAAATTAAAAATCGTATTTTTATGCTTTTTTTAGCCTAATTTGAGTGAAAAGCGTTTCAACGCTTTTCAGTTTGGGTCAGTTTTTTACAATTTGAATAATTATTCTGGAAAAACGGTGTGCGCGAATGATCTGAAATTGTGCACAAAGATTAGTGGTCTTAACCTACATCAAATGGTACAATTATCTGGAAAAAATATTTTCAGCCCAATCATGTCAAAAATCCTCAGTGGAGTCCCTTTAATGGAGTTCCTTTAACTAAGAATAATTATGTTATATTCGTTATCCTCTGTACGCTATGTGCATCTATCATGTCTATAAAACTGTTGAGTTATATAGTGGATTGAGATCAAAATAACTTCTTAGATTTCTATACATGTATAATGCATAGTTATTAGTGTATTATGCGATATGATCTATGTTGTAGTACCCTTTAATGCTACAATACATTGTCCAATTTTTGGACAATTTTGTTTTATGTTAAATCACATCTTAAACTATCTAACATTTACACAAAAACATCAAGCATGTAATATCACTGTAAAGAGATCTAAAATAATATGCTTAAAAAAACAATCATATAAAGATAACATATATATCTTACATTTCAATCTTTTCATTAAAATTGACCTATAGTGAACACGCAGAAATGGTATATCAATAAATATATACAATGTACCACTTACAAGGTGTTCTATAATAAATACATGTACACAACATGCTAAAAACAATACTCAAAGCACCAAATGACATAATTATCAATCATGTAACTTCATGTATAATATCACCCCCCACAAAGAATCGTCATGCAGTAAAGAAATTAAAATTGAAACCTGATTACAAACATTTATTTTTTCTGTTCAACTTATAATTTAATAAATGCTTAAGCAGAGAACATTCTTTTTTAAAAAATGTTTCGCATGACAGGGAAATACTATTGTCTTCCGTTTTTATCGTTAGTATTTCCATAGGCTTTACTGCTTTTAATTGTTGAAATATAGACCTTCAATAGTTCAAACTATCCATGTCAGTTCATTGTACATATACACGACTCATATTCCATTATATGTATTTTTTAAATAGGATACTATGACTATATTGAATGGTTTGCTATCTTTCGTCATCTGATTCCTGCAATATATCAAAAACTAAATATGTTAAAACATAAACTAAAAATAAATTTTATAGCACTGTAGTTTAAGATACATTAGGTTTTCTTTTTCAATTCTTTAAGCATCGTCTGAAATAATGTTTGTAGGAAAACAAAAATCATGTTGATAATCATAAAAGTTTGAAATGTTAAAGCTGATAATTAATCAATTTTTTTTTATCTTTTTTTAACTCATAACATCCATTTTAGAGAGTTGTCATTTTGTATATTGAACTTTTTAGTAGTACATTTTATTTAATTTATTGTGGTTATGTTTTATATTTAACATTTACTTCAGAATCATCTGCTATATCATTCAGCGCTTCCTGGACAGCTTCATTTGCAATATTTAGGTTTAGAGTCGAGCCACCTTTGAGGAACGTCACAAGTCTTTCAATTTGAATGTTATTTCTAAAATTGCAGATTAACGGAACTGGAAAAAATATAGATAAATAATTGTATTAAAGGCACAGGTTAATTAGTCAAAATAGCAAAATTACAGGTACCACAAAACCAATAAAACTATACTTCAAGTTATATTCAATAAAATAAAAGAAATTTCAACATACTTTGACAAGCTTAGACAACTATTGGTTTTCATAACCAAGAGTCACAACCTAGCGGGGCGCGCTCGACTTTTTCTTATTTCTAAAGTTAAAAAGGATATTAAACTCATTTAGAGGAAGGATGTTATAGCTAAAAGTACTCCTTGAAAATATAGTTTTCTTGTAAAAACTATAATTCAAATTTCATAATTGACCTTAAAGGTCAATGACACATTTTAATTAATTGTCATTTTAGTTTTGTCATTTAAGTGTTCTTTTGTAAATAAATAGTTAACAAAGTTATGACAATTTAATTTATTTCAATAAATTGAATCAAATCTGTTAGAAATACATGAAACACAGTTAAGACAACTGGATAGTAATAGGTATTGATAGTAATAGGTAATTTATTCCAAACGTCAATACTGAAGTAAGAAAATAATCCTTTAAATAAGTTTTATGAGGTATACTTTTCAGTACAAGATCTTTATGAGCGATTGAGCGTAAATTATGTAATTCATTTTGAGAGAAACTTAAAATTTCACTCATATATAACGGTGCCAGATTGTTTAGGATTTATACACCATTATTGCTGTGTGGTATTTCACTCTGAAATTGAATTTCAGCCATTTAAGTTTATTAAAAAGGGAACGTATCGGTCTATTAAGTATAATTCAAGTTCAGTCTGATTAAGTTGAAGGCTTTGTCCAATAATCATGGCAGTCAATTGAGAAATATATAAAAGCAAATGTGACTAGTGTTCAAGTTTTCGGTCGGCATTGGCAACAGCAACGGCAATGACAGCATGATTGTAGCAATAGCTCTTTTTTCTACGGAAAAAGTCGAGCTATAATGGTACAAATTTGAAATGTACTGCTTGAATGAATTTACAGAAGCTTCTCTAAATATGAATTTTATTTCATTTGACAAGTAGAAAATTGGTATATGCTATGATATCATACGCAGGTGTTGGAATATAGAAAATATTTTTCATTTAAAAAAAGATAAGATACTTTTGATAACTTAGTAAGACTAAATAAATATTATAATACTATACATACCTTTCTTAACAAGGACTATGACAGCAATCAAAAGAAGGACCAACACACCTATATAACGTATTAAATGATATCTATATCATTTTATTAAATTAAAAAGCAGTTTAGTTATGCGTACATTTATATATATCATTACAATCCATGTACTGCTTTTTCAAGTTAAATGTGCATTTGATATTTACATGATGATTTGAATAATAAGAATTGTAGTAAAAATGGATAAGTTATCTTATGTATCGATAAGAAAAACATCAAAGTATGATGCTTGAATGTAGTAAACAAAGATATGTTGCGAAAAGCTTTCTTAATATTAATGACTTGATCTTATTAATCTTTATCATCATGATTGTTTCAATCTAAATGATAGAAATGTAAAGGCTGTCCCTCATATTTTAACAACAGAAAATTTCGTTTCCGCTAGATCTATAATAATCTAATGAATAAGAAAATAAGAAAACAAATATGGCAAAATGACTAACAAACTATCATCAAAGTATTGAAAGCGATACAAAAGCCCACTACCCCGGTTATAACCCCGTAAGCTGTATGTGAGCAAATTCTAAAGAGCCATGGCCTTTCAATTATGCCATTATGGAAAACATGAATGAATGAAGTTTCCATGCATAGTAAAGAAAAATATGTTATACAGCATAATAAAAAGATCAAATTTTCTCAAGAACACTATTCATATGCAATCTATCAACATTGCTATGTTTTGATTTAGGGACGGACTGACAGGCGGAGGGCAAACCCCTATTGATGTCACCAGTAGGGGTCTAAAATGACAATTTTATTACCATCGTTTCCATATACTAGTACTATCTATTCGTATTTCATTTCTATGGTTCCGTTTTTAAAGGTTATAACAGAAGTTAATAACCTTCGTTAATATGACATTTACATGGATGAAAGTTATTTATTTATTAAATTACCATGTATATCTAGTAACACAGGAATGTGCAACGTTACTGTGCAAAAGTAACGCAAAGTCATGCAACTATATGACCGAATCGAGCACCACGGAAAGCAAATAAACCAATATTTTTATTGTTCATCAAATAGAAAGAAATGAAATAGTTCATACTGTATTCGAAACTTCATTAGAATAATTCTATCACCTATACTTTATTTTTCGAGAATGACGTATGGCTAGCGTATTGAATTCGAATTTAATTGTGTTTCGTCGATATCTTCAAATACAATACCGTAAATAACCTACCCACTATATATATTATCCACAAATGTTTTGATGTCTCAGGCAAATCTTCTTTTAAGCCAGGAACTAAAAGATACAAAAAAACACATTTTTTATGGTTTTATGGTTTTATATATAAAAAAATATGATGCTGAAATTAAAATTTATCAATATTGTAAGTTCCAAAAAGCAATATTTATAAAGATATTACCGAATTAAATATTTCATGTAAATAAAGGGAGGTCATTAAAAATTTGCTTTTCTATAAATTCTAAGTCAATTTTTCCAATTAGAAATGAATGCATATAATTTGATGATTATATTTAATATGTGCAAATATTTGCAGTACATATTTTACATATTCTTCTATGTTTGAAAATTGTTCTATAAGCATAATTATATACATATGTAATTTCACGTAAGAGTGGTATACAACCTAAATTACAAAACATACATGATCTTTAAACGTAATGTATAATGAATAAAGGTCTTAAAACTCAAAATAATGATAAAACTGTAATAAAAATAGTGCCAAATCTAACTAAAAACGCACTTTTTACTTCTGAATAAACAGGCAATGTTGACCGTACATCACCGACAACACCATAAACAAAGATGTTGTAAATGTATCCTCTCTGAACGTTAGCAAGGGAGGCAACTACTCGACCACCATGATCTGGATACGACACATCCATGTGATCCCCATCGCCATTACTAGTATTGTATGTCAAATACCATTTCTCTACATGACTTCGTGAATCATTTGTAAACCAAAATACATCCACATCTGTTGGCGACGGGAAATGTACATGAAGTTCTTGTGGTGGTAACGGGGCTGTGAATAAAATAAACAATGACCTGGTACAAAAAGAGATGTTAAATGAACAAAACGTATATTTAAAGGCACATTTTGCCTCAGAAATCCATATCTTTTGATTGATTAGAAATTTCAAACATGTGTTTAACAATGTTTTATTGATGGAGTTAGAGCATGTAAGATGTTTTAAAAACCGATGAACGTCAAGGTATGTGTCATAAAGGAAGCAAAATGTAAACAAAACTGTATTTTGACTTCCATATAAATATGCCAATTGCCAACAGAAAAGAGGAGGCAGCAAAAGATAGTACATCTATTTGCCAAATGGGTATACTGTAATAAGATAACAAAAATACAAAGTTGTTTTAGAAATAAAAATGATAGCATTTCTGAGGCATAATGGGCCTTTAACATTTATGACATCGTCACTTTTTTTTCCCTTTTTATAAAACACAAATATATCAACAGGATATCTCTTTAACAAAATTGAAGAAATTTATTAAAGATAAAGGCTTCAAAATAAAGTAGCAAACAACTAAAGATTGTATTCTATAGTCGATAATATGTGTAAATATGTATTTAATGTCAAACAAAAATGTTCTTAAGTCTTTTCAATAATATATCTCGTCTCTAGTACTAAGTATGGTGTTTAATTTTAGCGCATGCATTTGTATTATTAACTGTGAACTTCAATTAAAAAAAACTTGCTGATACATACGAATCACCAGGCATGTCGTACTCTCTAAACTGTTGATAGCATTACTTATAGAATAAACACGAAGCTCATATTCTTCTCCAGGGAAGGGATGGCTAATTGTAAAGTTACACTGCCTGGTTGTATTGTGTATCCAGCCAGGTTTACGATTCCTCCTCACCGGTCTATATTCCACACCATACCGGTCCTGCTCACTTTGATGTGGAATCTTCCACGACAGTTGGATGCTCTCACTGTTGTAACTACTTGTCAAATTCCTAACAGGATTCGGTTCTTAGATAAAAATAAAAAAAAATATTTTTACAACTTGATATTATGATTACTATTCGAAATACATAAATATCAATTTTACTTTTTTTCTTCTAATAACTAGCATAAATAACATGCATGACTTATATATTCATTTGTAAAATGTCGGAACAAAATAATAAATAAATTTATAAAAAAATAAATTTTTAATACTACACTTTTGTAACGTCGCTTTTCATTTGAGAATCATGACGTTTATAAACAAGTAGTTTTATAAACACGACTACTGTCAATTTATGAAAAATCACATTTTTGTTCTAAAAAAAGGAAGTTTGCTATATATTATAGATTCGTTACAAAGATTCCTGACAGTTTTTAAATACAATCGTTTATATATGACCTTATAACCTGTTAAAATCTTTATAACTTATAACACGTGATTAAGTTTAATTTCAAACGTCATTTAAGACCCATGAACAATTTGTATATATTGTGTACTAACGGGCTGTTCCAATCATTTGTATCGTGCGATTTTCCATATTGTCATTATGTTCATAAAACAAAGTAACTTTGAATAGATAAGATCGACCGGGGTGAAGTGGTTTAATATCAACATGTTGTGGAGAACCATCAGCGTCTAATACAATATCAGGTAATGCCATTGCTCTGTGTCCTTTCATCTTTCTGTATAGTATCTGTAAAAAATAAAAATATACAAAAAAACTCACAAACACAACAGACATAAAAAAGACTGTGATGAAAAGATTACTTTGCTTTCTAGAAAGTAGCTTGAATGTAAAACATGTTCTTTTAGCAAGACAACTTCCTCTGTTTGTTTGGTTATAGAGGTACTCGATTGTATGCTTCAAAATGATTGGCTTATACAGAATGTATTTCGGTTTGTTTGAGAACGAACACACTCCCAATCCAGCCTTGCACTAAGCAGTGAGGGTCAATAAAACAACGGCATGAAAACCGCCCGGCTTACTTATCCGAAGCATTAACTACACGCCGCATTAACTCCATAAAACATCAACATTGTTACAGTATATGATAAGATACCTTAAGAACTTTCATAAAACCTCAACATTGTTACAGTATATAATTAGATACCTTAAGAATAGAAACAAAGATGCCACGTTCAATAGAGTAACTGTATGATAACTGTAAACCGCCGGCAACTGGTTGTAATCTAACATTGACTGTCAGTAACTTTGAATTGGAGGGAGATATCAGTACTGTTGAATCTTTACGTGTACATACGAAATCTTTGTATGGATCTCTGGTATATCCACCATCATGACATGGTCTCTTACATGAACAGTCTGTAAACAAACGTACAAAATCGAACAGTCTTGAACACTGCCCATTATTTGTTCTGCTTACTACTATTGATAAGGTAACATTTATGATTTGTTTTCCAAATCTATTTCTTCCTGCATTGTCAATTTCATCTTTTATTTTAATTATTATTTATGAGCTTGGTAACTGTGTGATTTATGAAAGAATTAAACTTTTAAGATAAAAAGTACATTGAGCAGATTGTTTATTTTAAATCAACGGATAACCAAAAACAACCTGATAATCTTTCCAAACCACCAGGACATCGATCATATCTGTTATACGACAACACACACATATTTGGATCGTCTGTTAACTCAAATATATTTTCGGTTTTTCAGAATTGCAGTATCCCAAGTGATAATTGCAGTAAACAATTGCTCGTGAAGTCAGAGAACTTTTTTGAAGTACGATTATACTTTTGTCATGGTCACACTTGCCGAAACAAACAACATTTCGTGCATGATGATAACCATCCTCACACTTGTCTTGTCCGAGTTGATATATACTTGGTTTGTTACTATCGTAGTAAACGATGTTCCGAGCATCTGGAAACAATACAATAATATAATTATATATGAGCCGTGTCACGACAAAACCAACATAGTGCGTTTGCGACCAGCATGGATCCAGACCATCCGACGCATCCGCGCAGTCTGATCAGGATCCATGTTGTTCGCTATCAGTTTCTCTACTTGTTATAGAGTTGGTACCTGATCAGACTGCGCGGATGCGCAGGCTGGTCTGGATCCATGCTGGTCGCAAACGCACTATGTTGGTTTTGTCGTGACGCGGCTCATATACATAATACACTCGTTCTTCTACATAATTATATGAAATTAAACTCTGTTGTTTTAGAGATACAATTAGTTCAATGCTATTAATAGAGGAAACATGCAAGTTTGAATTTCTTGAATTTGGTTGTTAATACTATTACTTAATGAAATTGACTTGTACCAACAACGAATTGACTGTCCAAAAATCATTTTATATTAATCTCAACAAGTTCTAAAAAAAGTTGAATTTCTTTAACTGACGTTTCCCCGTTTTATAAACAAAAATGATAAAAATTGATAATATTACTTGGATTACAGTTTCCTTTAGGTGCACAGACCAACAGCACATGTTTAAACTGGTTCCCCGAGTTCTCTACACATTGAGCGTCAGTCCCATTCGGACATAGACTAGACAGTTTACAATGCTCTTCAAAAGTTTCCCAGAAAAATGCTTCCGATCTGCAGTTTTGAAGTGGAAAAAATGGGCAAGTTTGAGTGGACAGGTTGACCACTGGATATATATGATTGCTGGGATCATATGATATACCCTCCACTTCTTTGCCCTCTAAAGTCTTGTAATATATTTGTTGAAAACAATGTACATGTTCTTTGATCAGAACTAAATTAAGTAAAATTGCGCCGAACCTTGGTGGAAGCATTCCAAATATTTATCTGAAATGGAAAGAATGGAAATAAGAAAAGCATGGTTATGAGACTAGCTATATGAGAAAACATGGTAAACAGACTAGCTATATGAGAAACAATGGTAAACAGACTAGTTATATGAGAAACCATGGTAAACAGACTGGCTATATGAGACACCATGGTAAACATACTAGTTATATGAGAAACCATGGTAAACAGACTGGCTATATGAGAAACCATGGTAAACAGACTAGTAATATTAGAAACCATGGTAAACAGACTAGTAATATGAGAAACCATGGTAAACAGACTGGCTATATGAGACACCATGGTAAACATACTAGTTATATGAGAAACCATGGTAAACAGACTAGTTATATGAAAAACCATGATACACCGACTTGTTGTATAAGAAAACATGGTAAACATACTAGTTATATGAGAACACGTGGTAAACAGACTAATCATATAAGACAACATGGTAAACAGACTAGTTTTATGAGAAAACATGGTAAACAGACTAATCATATAAGAAAACATGATAAACAGACTTGTTATATGTGAAAATAGTGTAGACAGACTAATCATATAAGAAAACATTGTAAACAGACTAATTATATAAGAAAACATGGTAAACAGTCTTGTTATAAGAGAAAAAATGGTAAACAGACTAATTATATAAGAAAACATGGTAAACAGACTAGTTTATGAGAAACAATGGTCAACCGACTTGTTATGTAATAAAACATGGAAACAGACTAGTTATATGAGAACACGTGTTCAACAGACTAGTTTTATAGTAAAACATAGTAAACAGACTAATTATATAAGAAAACACCGTAAACATACTAGTTATATAAGAAAACATGGTAAACAGACTTGTTATATGAGAAAAATGGTAAACAGACTAGTAATGTTAGAAAACATGGTAAACAGACTAGTTATATGAGATAAAAATGGTAAACAGACTAGTTATATGAGAACACGTGGTAAAAGGACTTGTTATATAAGAAAGCATGGTAAACAGACTAATTATATAAGAAAACATGGTAAAAAGACTAGTTATATGAGAACATATGGTAAACAGACTAGTTATATGAAAACACGTGGTAAACAGACTTGTTATATGAGAACACGCGGTTAACAGAAAATTATATAAGATAACATGGTAAACAGACTCAGATAAGAAAACATGGTAAACAGACTTGTTATATGAGAAAACGTGGTAAACAGACTTGTTATATGAGAAAACGTGGTAAACAGACTAATTATATAAGAAAACGTGGTAAACAGACTAATAATTTAAGGAAACATGGTAAATAAACTAGTTATATGAGAAAAAATGGTTAACAGACTAGTTATATGAGAACACGTGGTAAACAGACTTGTTATATAAGAAAACATGGTCTTTGTTTTTACGGTGTCCTTAACAAATCATGTAAGACATGTCACGTTTGAGCGATAGTCTACTATTTATTCAATTTATGTAGAGCATACCTGACTAAGCTATAATTATTTGGCCTTTATATACTCTTTTGTTATTTCCGAAGAAATTCTTATATTTTTTAACAAAGTTGCCTATCAATACTAGTCTAACCCAGGTCCATGATTTACATACATTAAGTAGAGGTCCAAAAGATATTGCTGTATTCTCATTTTTTCCATTTAGAAAACTTTTCCATGTTGTTTTTTTTTGTAGTTTATGAGACAAAATGTGGAGGACGAGTCTATTTTTCATGCAGTTAACTTTTGTAAAGGAATATTGTTTTTTTTTTGTTTGTGTGTTTTTGTTTGTTTGTTTATTTTTGTTTGTTTTGTTTTTGTTTTTTTTTTTTTTTTATTTTTTTTTTTGTTATTTTCACGTTATATTCTTCGATGTATAAGCATGATCACTTTTATGAAAGTATAAATCATACATTTATATCTCATCATAGTGCTTAATGAGAGTTTAATTCATAGTTGCAATTACCTTTCAGTTTAAGTATTTTGATTGTATCTCAATTTGTGTGTAAATTATCAAACATACATTTTGGGAACCCATTTTACACTTAAATAAAAAAAAACAAAGAAAAATAAATTTTGAACATTTAACTCAAATGAAGCAACTAAATCTACATGATTTCAGTAATTGAGCACATACCTGAAAAAATATAAACTTGTTAATCAAAAATATTAAAACAGAAAGTACAAATTAATTGCTTAAATTACGGATTTAAAATGTACTTCTTTCACCCAAAAAGATAGAATAAAAGTTAACATTCCAATCAAAATTATAATTTAAACCTTTATCACTTATATATTTACCCAGATTAATTAATTTACATACCTGTAATGTTTTGTAATGTCCTAAAGTTTTAAGTTAATCCAGACAGGAAGTATGAGTTAACACTCCGTGATTTATCATACAGGTAGATAATAAAGATATATTAATCTATTCAATTGGCATATATATAGCGTAACATGTACTATTGACTAACCGGTTTTGGGCGCTCTTTAATGAATCGTTTGTTGGCACGGCAGTAAAGGTTTATATTATAATTAAAATTAACAAAATAATAATAATAAAGACATTATTTAACGAGATAACCTATTATCTTCCACGAGGCCCTTTTATCTATGGTATTATTGTGTAGCAGTTACTGCGATATGTTTAAAGCATTTAATTATTTTAATGTTTTGAAAAAAAAATATTTTAGAATACTTAACCTTTCATTGAACAAGTCGGGTGATGATTGTTTTCATTTTAGATATATAGTTTTCTGTTTCATATATTTTATGACTTGATTTTTTTTAAATAAAACGTAATTTGTTCTTGATATGTTGCCTTTGTCTAACTTCATCTTAACTTTTCTATATTTTGTCTATGTTTATAAGATTACAACTTAAAGGCATATTCTAGAGTAACATACATGTACAAACAAAAGTGTAGTTTTATCCGGTTTATTTTAAGAATGGAAATTCCCACCACAAGCTATTTATATGTAACTAACTTCTGTTCGTAAAGTAGTCTATAAATAGTTGTATCATAGTTTGGGGACCTTTCTGTTGAAAATGTGTCAGAGTTAAATCGTATACATGTACATGCACAGTGCGTTAACTGGAGTGCAGAAGTTACCCACACTCTAGAGCATGCCCGCCCGTTGATTGGCTCATATTTGCTGTGGTTTACTTATTGTGACGACAGAGAAGTGGATAGGGATAGCGACAGAAATGCTCGTTCATTGGTTACTTGTTTCTGGGGTTTCATATTGTGACAACAGGGAACGTGTTTTTATGTTTGACTATGATACAAAAGAGAAAGATCAAAACACTCTGCAATCTGATTAATACTCGGTGGCTACGCCCCCTCGTACAAATCGGATAGCCTCCTGTTTCGATGCTCTTTATATTACATGGAGCTTAGAACTTAATATAGACAGGACCAATGTGGTTGCTTTTTGTAAACGTTTCGGGTTACTGCTAAATGAAGATTTGTGTATGATGTAAAACTGGATGTTGTAAATGATTTTAATTACCTCCATGTTATTTCTAACTAAAAAGGTACTTTTTATTGAGAGCAGTTAGCTATGAAGGCATTGAATATTTTACATTTTAATTTAAAAAAGTACCATTTAAATCTTAAAATATTATACCAGCTATTTAATTCTGTTTTAAGTTCGATTCTTTGTTATAACGTTGAAATATGGGTTAATAGTTAGTCATAAGAAATAGAAATAGCCATTATTTGTCATTATTTGTGACATGATATGTAAGAATTATTGGGTAAAGTTACTGCAATCTTATAAATATCATTTTTTTTAAAAAATAAATATATTGCAGGCCGTATATTGATAATTGCATTTTCTCGGCCATTTCCGGCAAACTTCGAACACAGTAGTAAGAATACACAAATCGGATACGGTATTCCGATATTACATATTCTAAGAAACTAAACATGTAAATAAGTAGTGATTTAATTCTTAGTTTATTCCAATATATCGGGTAAAAGTTCGCATAAATTGCAGAACAGTATCTATATACTTATTTCATTCATAGTAACAACATTTGTCTCGAACTTTATGGATACAATGTAATAGATGCTGACATTGTCTCTACCGGGATTGCAAGTATTATTGACACATGAATTAATTCTTACAATTATATATTTGAATGTAGAATCTCTAAAAAAGTAAATAACTTGTAAAATAGATACTTAATCAATGGTAACCATAAATAATGAAAGAAAAGAAATACTTGCAGTCACGTCATCTTGCTATGTAATTAGTAATTTACTTATGCATACATGTAATTGTATATATCATGAATGCTTGTATATGGCTCTTTTGAGAATCTATATTTAACATCATATTATTTATTATATTATCATATTTTATGGTCCATATTATCACATTATAGTTATACAATACATTATCATAAATATTATCACAAATCCTTTTTATGGTCCATATTATTAAATTATATACAATATTATATCATAAATATTATCATAAATACTATTTTATGGTCCATATTATTATATTATATAAAATATTATATCATAAATATTATCATAAATACTATGTTATGGTCCATATTATCATATTTTATACAATATAATATCATAAATATTATCATAAATCCATTTTTTATGATCCATATTATCATATTATATACAATAAAATATAATGTATATTATCATAAATCCTATTTTATGGTCCATATTATTATATTAGATATAATATAATATCATAAATATTATCATTAATCCTTTTTATGGTCCATATTATCTTATTATATACAATATAATATCATAAATATTATCATAAATCCTATTTTATGATACATATTATCATATTATATACAATTTAATATCATAAATATTGTCATAAATCCTATTTTATGGTCCATATTATCATATTATATACAATGCATTATCATAAATATTATCATGAATCCTATCATTTCATGAAATTTTATTTCTTATCATATCATATGATACTTAATCAGATACATATAAACAAAACAATTTATCCTTGATTGTTTTGATTTATATGTATCCAAATTTCTAACATTACCGTTAAACATAAGTCTCACGTTGACATATATATTCATTTATATGTATTATACTAGATGATGTTCTATGTCAATCTGAATAAATTATCTGCTCTGCTCTGTTCTAGGAATATCATTTTATATATTATATATCATATAATGTTATCATTGCTAATTTAGTTATAATTATATTACTTTGTCAGGCCAGACCCAGTAGATTCAAAAAGATTTAAGCATTCTCTAGTGATGAAGATGTTGTTTCTTAAAGCAACACGCCTCCAGATGCATGCTTATTTTCATTAAAATTTTGAAATTGAAATTGTATAGTAACCAAAAGGAAGCAATTTACACATTATAAATGGCAATAATAACCTACTATAATTACAAAAAGAGGTTAAAATATGCAAAAATGTTCTTACTGCTTTAGTAACGCAGTACAAATATAGTGTTACACATAATGAAAAATTCACAACTGATTGCTCATAACATGACTTTTGAATCTTTCTTCTTTTACTAAAATCTTTGTACATTTTTCACCAGTTTGATTTATTGAAATATTTTCACTCATTTGAAGGCATGCTGCTTTAATTAATTCAATTGGAATGATTATATAAATTCGTTCAATAAGATCATTATAATTGTTTACCTCACTACTTTCTGTTGTACTTTCAGGAGGAATGTTATCATCGGTGTTGTTAATGTTTGCTGTCACATGCTTTGATCTTATCTTCGTAATATTCCCGTACTTTTTATTTACAATATGAACTTTCTCTGGAACTAATTTAGATGTAATTTATTTAAATACACATCATGAAACTAAACACGTTATTCTTTATTTATACACTCTATTTTATTTATTTACTTATTGATTGATTGATTGATTGATTGATTTATTTATTTATTTATTTATTGATTAATTTATTTATTTATTTATTTATTTATTTATTTATTTATTTATTTATTTATTTATTAAATTAATATAAACTAAAGCTATAAAGTTATACTTCTAATTCTTTATATTTGACTGCTGTCACTATTTATCTTAATATATTAACATAATAAATTATCTACAAATAAACATCAAAACTAATGACAACTACCTTTGTTGTTGTTGTTGTTGTTGTTGTTGTTGTTATTGTTGCTGACGAGTGCATGTTTTGCCAGGTCATATTGTTTGACAAGTAAATACAGTAGGAGACCTGAAAGTAAATGACATATAACGTGTTTTGAACTCTTATGAGTGAAATAAAATATTTCCAGGACTATATTTACAACAGTCATTCAAATATACACGGTAATCGTTCATGATTTATTCTACAACACAACTGACCAAATTATTGGAGAGGTCATCAGACCTCTCCACAGTGTTGAGTTTGATTGCTGGCGGCATCTATTTTTGCGTATCAAATTGAGTTTAATGAATCTCATTTACAGCCTAAAACATTAGAACCAGCCTATAAACATTGTTATGCGCATGTCCCGATTCAAAATACGACTTTACTTAAACGAAAAATCAACATCGACTGTAGTAAATTGTTTATTGTTTTGTGAGCAACGAATTCGAAAAAAAAGAGACTTTTTTTAAACCCCATTTTTTATAATTTTTTTATTTTTACAATTTTACTGTTGAAAATTTTAAAAAAGAAAAGTTAAAATTGTTTTATGGTGCGTAACATCTTGGTAAAAACATTTTTCTTTAAAAAATAACTAAATCCGGGGGGTTTTTTTGGCATTTGTCTCGAAGCCTCGTATCCTTTAACGGACGCTTTCGTAACACTAAACGAAAAGACCATCATAGCATTTTTTCTGATTGTCTCGAACAGTTCGTAATTTACGAATCATTGTCAACATCTCGTAAAGTTACGGTAAAAAAATCGAATAGTTTATCAAATGTAAAAAGCCGATATGTTGCTATTGTTCGACTCATCAAAAGTTCTTACTTTCCCGCCAAACGAACAATTAAATAAATTTCAACAGCTGTAAAAAGACCTGTGGCATGCTTCGTTTTAAAGAAGCAAACTTGCTGTCTTGCCAATGAAATTTTCGCTTTGATTTTTTAGCAACAAAAAAAAAAGTTAATTAAATGTGCTCATCGCATATGTCACATATTTTGTTGATCTTACCAATCATAAATACCAGCGTAAATATCATTAATACCAGCGTGATTATCAGTATATCTTTAACATCGTCGTCATATGGGACTGAAAAACATTATAGTAAAATAGTAATATTAAATTGTATCAAACGAATAATATGTTCCATAATCTAGAACTATAAGAAAAATGCAATTCCTTTATTACTTTGTATAATGACAATATAAATGTTTATTTATTTATATGTTCATCTCTCCTACTTCATTGCAGATTTGCATTCCCGTAATGCAAAGGTGCATGCATTGTTGTGGTCATGATGTTATTAAATTAATACATCAA